TCGACACCAAGGAGGGGAGCAGAAGTAAGAATTAAATCCGGAAACAGCAACAAAACAGGACGAGATGACAGGTATATTTGGAAGTCCATGGGTTCCCGCTCCCCCAGCTCCAAACCCCCTCAATTGGTGCTCGCAATCTTGAACAAACCCATCTAGCTAGGGTTAGATAGATGTAATGCTGTAGCGTGAATAGTATGGCGTACTGTGCCACAGATTAAGGTTATTGCTTAAAGGCTAATATCGAAGTTCGACTTGAAGCGCATTCTCCCGGGAATGTATGGACAGTGAGAGTAGTAAAATTTCGAGGATAGGGAGCTCAGCTATAGATGCTTTCGAAATTGCTAGGGAAAAGCTTCGCGCGGATGCACTGGAAGGTATTGCAAGATTGAGGTACTTGCCTGCTGCCAATTGACATTATTTTCAAACAACACGCTAGGTACGGAAACATTGCTGGAGTGCACTCGAACACAATAAATTCGACGACTTGACGTTACGCCTAATGCTGTCCTACCATATTCGTGCCATACGCCATTACCAACCAGATCTCCATGCTGCCTTCCAGTAGCAACAACCTCCAGACTCCAGAGCCCATGCATTCCTACCAGTGATTTCATTACGGTCATTTGTGCCACACAGGCCAAGACATCGTCGTCGCCAATCATGGCTCGCCCAGAAGTCTAGCTGTGATATCTCCCATGTATGCTTCCTCGAGCTCGTAGTCCTCTCCGTTATTCCGGTCGATGCTGACAAAGTTGAAGGCATCGACTACTCGGTCCAGCTCGAATCCCATAGCAACAAATCTATCGATCAGGTCTCGGTTGTATCCTTGGTATCTATTCCAGCATTAGCCAAGTCTTTCCATTCCGAATAGAAACGTACCGAGCAATCAGCATCCTCTCCTCCTCTTCGCGAGACAGAACCTTTTGGGATTTTGGCTGAGATGAAGCAGGCTGCGAAGCTGTGGTAACCTCCCATTGTGTTGACTTTGGTGCTGAAGCATGCTTGATAGCCCATTCTCTTGCAACCTTCTGGAATTGTTCAGGGTGTTTCATGAGCATACTCGCTACCTCTGCATCTTGCGGATCTTTGGGCTCGGGTGTGCTGAGGAGGGATTGGAGGGAGAGAAGGGCGGATTTGATGGTAAGGACTGGTGACCAAGCCGTTCCAAGAGTATCGAGACAGATGGCACCCTGCATTGTTCTTAGCTTCACAGTATTCAAGAGAGTCAAGGCATGCATACCGTTTGACTGCTAACGTTTGGGTGCCACAGCTTTGTTTGAAACTTCATGACTGGGGGCCGGAATGGGTATTCATTGGGAATAGTGATGTTCACGACATAGGTTCCGCCTTCATATGGGGTATCTGGAGGACCTGGGAAGGAGGCGTGCAGATGTGAAAGATCTCCATCTGCAGCCTCGCAGAATATCTTGGACTGGGTATCATTCTGAATGTCTGCCAACTCCTTAGCCACTCTTCGCAGTCTATTAGATGCCATAATCGACCGAGAAGTAACTTTGGAGAAACAGATGCTCTCAATCTTCTTTCAAAAAAGTGTGAAGGTGATCTTCGGAACTAGGTCTTGATTGTATAAGGCTCGAGTGCAGTTTGACGGCGTGATTCGAGGATATGCCCAGGGTGCCGTGGATTGGAGATGGAATTAAATGGATGAAGTGAACGCAGGGTTGGCTTGCAGGACAAGTTTTCGTAATCTATGTCAAGTTAGAGTGTGAGGAAAACTGCTTTGATAAGCTAGATACAAAGTTGAGTAATGAAGTAGGGGAAATGCTGGCAAGGCACTCGAGGGAAGCCTTACCGTGGGGTGAGTGGTTGTGCTGGCGGGGTACACTCGGGCGACTTGAGTTGCTTCTGAAGAAGATTGAGAAGTTGCTTTCCTTTTGTGACTGCTCCAGAATGAGACTGTTCTATTTGCAGACGCAGACTGAACGCTTCTCTTTCATGGATATGGCCGAAGGTGGGTAATGTCTCAACGTGGTTCCAGTGACTGTTACAGCTCCTCGAGCATTCGAGGCTGTGAATGTCATCGGGACTTGATGCCTCAAAGTTCCGACTGTATGCCTGATCATCAAGGCTGCAAACGAGGCTGCAAGCTTAGCGCGGATCCGAGCTGCCATTCGCGTCTCTGTCGCCTGCTGAGCTTCAAGCTGGCGCCCCTTCCATTACAAACACCGAATTCCTTACACCATCCATCCATCAACCTCAAATTATCGATTAGACCAAGCGGGTCTCTTCGGTACTTCAAACCTTCATTTCTTGTCATAGCAGCGCTTGGAAAACGCTGTGGGCACGATGGTAAGCTTCTTGACGATGGGCTGAAGACCAATATTGACAACATCAAAGGGAAATCAACAGTCCGGGCTCGGAGGAGCTGGTCAAGGCGGAGACAACAAAGATGAGAAGGACAAGAAGGTACGGGAGGATTGTTTCGCATGATACACCTGATGATGCTAATGATTCGTTGCAGAAGGAGAAGCCCAAGTACGAGCCACCACCACGTCCAACAACCAGAATCGGTCGCAAGAAGCGCAAGGCCGCTGGTCCAAATGCTTCTGCCAAACTCCCCGCCGTCTATCCTACCTCCCGATGCAAGCTGAGGTACCTTCGAATGCAACGAATTCACGATCACCTGCTGTTGGAAGAAGAATACGTTGAGAATCAAGAACGGTTACGAAAGGCAAAGGCTGCGAAGGAAGGAGGTGCTCCAGTTGCTGCCGCCAGCGACCCTGAGGCCCAAGATAGAAATGCCGACGAGCGCGGAAGAGTCGATGATATGAGAGGTAGTCCGATGGGTGTTGGAACTTTGGAGGAAATGATTGACGATGATCATGCCATTGTCTCCAGCACCACAGGCCCCGAGTACTACGTCTCCATCATGTCTTTCGTCGACAAGGATCTGCTGGAACCCGGTGCAAGTGTTCTACTCCACCACAAGTCCGTTTCCATCGTCGGTGTTCTTACAGATGATGCGGATCCTTTGGTCACGGTTATGAAGCTAGATAAGGCTCCTACAGAGTCATACGCGGATATCGGTGGTCTGGAGTCGCAGATTCAGGAAGTTCGGGAGTCGGTCGAATTGCCACTTCTCCACCCAGAGTTGTACGAGGAGATGGGTATCAAGCCTCCGAAGGGTGTCATTCTTTATGGTGCGCCAGGTACAGGAAAGACTCTGCTCGCAAAAGCTGTTGCAAACCAAACAAGTGCGACTTTCTTGCGTATTGTTGGTAGTGAGTTGATCCAGAAGTACTTGGGTGATGGGCCACGGCTTGTCAGACAACTTTTCCAGGTATGCGTATTCCGCTTTGATGCTATTTTTGACGCTAACTTGTACAGGTTGCTGCTGAGAACGCCCCTTCAATTGTGTTCATTGACGAAATTGATGCAATTGGTACCAAGCGATACGAGTCTACATCTGGAGGAGAGAAGGAAGTCCAAAGAACTATGTTGGAGCTTCTCAATCAACTGGATGGTTTCGATGATCGAGGAGATGTTAAGGTCATTATGGCCACGAACAAGATCGACACTCTTGACCCTGCCCTCATCCGACCTGGACGTATCGACCGAAAGATCCTCTTTGAGAACCCCGATCAAGTCACCAAGCGCAAGATCTTCACTCTTCACACATCCAAGATGTCTTTGAACGAGGATGTCGATCTGGAAGAGTTCATTAACCAAAAAGACGATCTTTCTGGTGCTGATATCAAGGCTATTTGCTCTGAGGCTGGTCTGATGGCATTGAGAGAGCGCAGAATGCGTGTCCAGATGGCAGATTTCAGAGCTGCAAGAGAGCGTGTTTTGAAGACGAAGACCGAGGGTGAGCCGGAGGGATTGTACTTGTAAGAAGCATATAGTGGATGGAAGGGAGGATAGAGCGATTGCTTCTCTTCGTGGAACTTGTATTCTAGAGAGGATCGTAATGCATCACAGATGATGACATACCGGCTTTGCCCAAACTTCCTTGTCCATTTGTCCTCTATCTGAAGTCTGCAATGGATCCCGGGAAATCTGTTTCAAGGCGAAGCCATACGTTTTCGCCAAAGACAGCTGTTGGCTGGTCTCGTAGCACAGCACAAATTCCCGCTGATCAATTAAAGTGACAAATACTTTTTTCCTGTACACGTTATCAATGCTTCACTGCCAGAAGAGAAGTAGGAATCAATTGTCTTGTTTTGAGATCAGGATTACCTCCTGAATGAATATAAGAAATATAAGCGACTTGGTGGTCGGTGGAAGGAAGGATGGATATATGGATAAGTGCATTGATCTCAACGATATTCACAAATAATTAATAGGTAACCTGAATTGCCAACACTTGCAGTCCCATTTGTCCTTGAGCTTTGGAATTCATTCCTTCGTTGCTTATCTACGTGATATGTCCATTTCTCTGTATTGGACTTTATCAGTTTCAGCTGTGATTGTTGATTGTGCAGATGCGAGAGACTTCTTTGCTTTTTCTGCTCTGCTGTAAGATCTTAGCTTACTTTTACAGCAACTCTCACTTTCGTTTGGGAGAGAAAGTCCTGAAAGTGGCATTATTATTCTACAAGATATAGTCTCAGGACTTTCATTTAGGTGGAACTTGATGTGATGGTATGAAATCTCACTTTCTTTTCACTAGTGAGAGCCGTACATGGCAAGGAAAGCTTGGGTTGGAATTGAGTAGCACTCGGGCACGTAAAAATGCACACACTCAGCAGGCCACCATCGTCTATCCACACATTCGTCGATATTTTTTCAAGTTATTCAAGACTGACTTCAAAATAACAGGTGAATGTACAACAATAGAACAAAAGAAGACTATCAATATTGAAAAGTTACTTCAATCAGAGCTTCAATCTTCCGTACCGTACGTACACTCTCGCTTGTAACATCCACGTCCCACACCAGTCCTCTCCCCCCCTTACAAAAACCAAAAAAGGGGAAACACAAAAAAATAAAAAGTGAAGAGAAGCTCTCCTTTCCAGAAGAAGCAACCTCGGGAATTGAGCCCGAGGTGGGGCTCGAACCCACGACCTTGAGGTTTGTACTTTTATGTGATAGAATATCTCATCTCTCCAATCTTGTGAGAAAGGGTATGTATTCTGAGTATAAGAGCCACACGCTCTACCGATTGAGCTACCCGGGCATTAAATTGGATGGGTTGGTGTGCGTGCGAACTGTGTAATTAGGTAGATGAAGGGATTGGCAAGGGTTGGTGGGAGGGTGTGGAGAATGTAGTGTGGATAACGGTGAAAAGTTTGAGAGAAGAGATTTTCTGCTTGGGGTAAGCGGGGACACCGCTTTTTTGTGGAAGACAATGTTCTTTTATTGGGTAGGTTTGCTTGGATGCGGTCTGTCTATATTTTCAGTTTTGATTTTGATTGCTCAGTGTCCCATCATTTCCAGTGTCTTTGGTCTGATATCGTCTCTTGAGGCTGGGCTGGCTGATGTGAAGGTAAACACTGTAAGCGAGCACGGGCTTAACGAGCTGCCTCTCGGCCTTCCCTTTACTTCGGATCAGGGTTATCAAATCAGTGTGTAGAGTTGTAACTCTCAATTTAGCAGATCTAAAAAATCTAAGCGTATTGCAAACGACTCTCATCCCATCCCGGCTGCAACGCACTCCAATCCTTGTTGAACTCAAAGTCCGTCTGGTAAGCACCATACGAGACCAACTTCACAGTATCAACCTTGGCGCCCTCATCCGTCATAGCCCAGAGACTCAGGGCCACCGTATTCAATCCTCTATTATTGATCACCCCCGGCGGAACCGGGAATCTCGTCTGCGGTCCAATATGCGGCACGTACTTCCCATACTGATACCCATTGACCCAAATCATAACTCTAGCCACCGTACCAACTGGAGCACCGAGCTCGATACCAAGTGGAACATCGAGATCAGAATCGATGTTAAGGTGGAATGTCGTGGTGTAGAAGCGTATCCCGGAAGTGCTGAGACCAGTCGACGGGCCGTTACGGTCAAACGAGGAGTCTGGTGTGAAGCCTGGGAGATGCCAGCCTAGACGTTCGGCGTACAACCCGCCTTCATTCATAGGGCCACGAACGGGATCGAGGTTCTTGGACCCGCCAGCGTTGCCCTGGATTTTCCACTGAGTGAAGCCGGTTGAGCTGGTGGTGTTGGGGAGGAGTGATGCGCCGAGGATGCCGCGGGGATTCTCAACGCCTTTCGCGGTAGAGGTTTGGTCGTGGCCGTGGTAGTCTACTACTACTGTGAGGAGGTTTTGGCCGGATTTGAGAAAGGCTTTGGGCAGGGTGAGAACGGATGATGTGGTTGTTAGGGAAGCATTGCCGACGTTGCCACCGATGAGATCGCCGTTGAGCCAGGCGGTCCAACCAAATGCTAGACCACCAGAACAGGTAATGTCTACAGATGTGTAGTTTGTGCCAGTGAAGTATCCGCGGTAGATCTTGGCACCTGTATAGAAGCTGTAATCGCTTGAGAAAAGGACAGGCTTTGTCAAGGGTGCCACTGGGCTGAGAGTTGTGGACTTGTTGCATACAGCCCACTTCGTGTCATCGTATGATGCCAACTTCTCCGGAAGAGTATCCTTGGAGCGCCAGTTTGTAAGAGCGGGAAGAGAGATTGTTCGATCTTTAGCTCCTGGGATCTGTGCTGTGACCGACCCATAAGAGGTCTTTGTCGCACTCAAGCGTATCCCATTCCAATCGATAGTTTGGATGTCGGAATTTCCAGTGTAGACCTCGATGGTTGTCGCATTGTCATTGTCGCCAGATACGTGTACAACACCGTGGGAGACATATGCACTACGGACCAGGTAAGGACCCAAGACAAATATCTGCTCATCGGGCTTGACATCTGGATTGAGCGTTGTGGGTGGAGCCCAGAATTTCCAAGCGGTTTCTTGGTCGAGAAGATAAATCAGCACATTGCCAAACTTGACAACTGTCTTTCCAGTTCCTTGGGTGTATGTGAAAGTTGTTGTGCTATTCGTCGACTCGACTACGACTTCAGTAGACCCTTCGGTGCTGTGAGCAGTATCTGTAGTGCCAGTCTTGACGGCAAATTGACCGACTTGGCCCGGCTTGAGGTACAGAACAAGGACGTCGACATCAAAAGTCCCGTAGGTCAACACATCTGCTGAAGAGTACAGTAGTGTGTTCTTACCAAAGGTATAGTCTGTGACAAGGATCTTGCTTTGGCGTCCATCGAGATTGATATTTGGCACAGTAACGACACCTGCAGAGGTGTTGAGACTGGCAGAGAAAGTTGTTGAGTCTCTTGATTTGGATGTCGCTTGCTGTACGGTGTAGAACGCGGCACCTGTGTCGGGATTTCGAAGCTCCCATGTCCAGATCAACGGGGTGGATACCTATGATTGTTAGCTGAGAATGCACGGGCGGATTGTTCCAGGACTTACAGCATATCCAGTTCCATTGCCAATCATGTCTGTCTTCAGGAGGTCTGTGGACACTCGTGTGAACAGACTTATCAGCTTGGTCTGATAGAATTTATCCTGGATTTGGCGAGTCTCTCTGAGAGGGGCAGAGTAGTCATAAGAAGTGTAAACCACAGGAGCAGCGGCTACGGATGTCAGTAGATGCAGTGATGAGGAGTAAATGTACTTACAGTGACCCCAGTTGGTTCCTCCCCACGCCATGTAAAGACTCAGAAGTGTCGTTCGCTGCGCAATGTTGTTTTTGTAGTAGACATCCGCAAATGCTGGATCGTGTTCTGCAGCACAATCATCGTAGAAGCTTCCACCCCAAGGGGTGAAGTACCCGGCTTCAAACTCTGCCAGGTACTCCGGCTGGGTATAGGAGTAGTTTTGGAACCACTGGTAATAATTTCTAACCAGGTTGAAGCCAGTGTTGATGTTTGTGCATGAGAATCCGCCAGGGTATGAATCGAGGGCGTAAACGTTTACAGCGCCGCCTACGTTCTTCACGAAAATTAGTATCGTCGCCAACCAGAAATGGTAAGGAGGAACTCGAGATTTCCCGCCCAATTACAGAAATTTGCTCGTTTTTGAAGATGGTACGAACCTGATAATCTGTGCTCCATGACTGCGAACGCATACCCTTCTCATTGTGTGTTGACGGCACTGTAATTCCAGCTTCCAAGAATGCCTTCTTGATCTGCTCCATGTAGATGACCAAAGTGTTCGTGGCAACGTGAGAAGTTTCTTGGAGCTCGTTCTCATGCTGGTTCAAAATGACGGGTCCGCCCTTCGTGATCTCGTTCCTCGCAATGATCTCTCCAATCTGGGTTATCCATGGTAACCAAGCTTGGTGGTATGTCTCATCGCCGGTCCGCAGGTTACCCAGGCTTCCGTCAGATCCCCAGAGTGCCAATCCTCCTCCATTTGTTTCGGCATTGCAGTATGGTCCTGCTCTGGCAATGACCCAAAGCCCTGCTTCTTTCGCATAGTCGAAGAGCTTTTGAACATCCTTTCCTGAGGTTTCGAAGTCGTAAACGCCTTTCGATGAGGAATGGTAAGACCAGAAGAAGTAGACACTGAAAGTATTAGCTGAAGTCCCTAGACTCTTGAAGCCACGTACCTGATAGTATTGAGTCCATTGGCTTTGAACTTATGGAATATGTCCAACCACATTTCCGGCACTGGCATGCGCTGATAGTGGACTTCCCCAGAGCTGAAAGAGGTAAGTATCTCTATCAGCAGCATATTCGGAAGACTAACAAGATGAAGACTCTGCTGCCGTTGACAGTCAAACTGTATGGATCCCATGTAACGGCCGTTTGCAGACCATTATCTGTCGCGAAACCACCCCACAGAAGGGTGGAAAGCACAGTGAAAAGGTGCAAGAAACGCATTTTCAAGAACCGGGAATTGCCCAAAGTCGATGAGGTGCTGCATTGTGCTATTTCGGCAGCGTGACATTAGTTTTATAGCAATCAATTTGTGTGTATAGCAAATGTTACATTAGAGGGACATTTCATGACGAGCTTCTCCCTGCTGTCAATGTACGTGATAGTTCACCCCACTTGCCACTTGGGATGGGTTGGAAGTATAATTGATTGCATTTCTTCCAGCAATCAGATGCTCAACAGAGGCCGGTCATGCCTGGATATGGTTGGCGCGCATACCGGATGAACTGCATAGGATGGATGGAAGCGGAGGTAGAAGCACACGAGGTATAGTCAATGGCGGGTCGGGGATGGATGGGGAAGGAGAAAATTACCCCAGAGTTGAGAAATCAAGCGAAATCAAGCTCTTGCGGCCGGGCTCGGCAAGACATGCGCCGAGGAATTGCTGTCACGTGCCAGGTACGGTGCTTGGCGACGACGATCCCCCTCTTTCGAAGGTTCAAGGTTCGTGGAGAATGCATCTCTGACCTCGACTTGTTCGTATCTCGCCCGAAGATCAAGTGCTGCGCCGCTCAATATTAACATTTCCATCTATCCGGGAGCCGAATAAGCGAGACCATCGAGGAGGGCTGGACACGTCCTCCAACTCAGTCCTTGATGCTGCTATGGCAAAGAGACATTGGGCTTTGAACTTCACAGACGGAGCATAAAGTTTCAAATCAGCATATATAATTCTACATTGACTCAAGAGCATTGTCGTGAAGTGTAATATTGACAAAGATGTTACAGACTTCGTGAGTACCTAGGTGACCTTCTGGAGGTTTCGGTCAGGTTGTTCACCTCTTCCTCGTAACCTTGTCCAACTCATTTTCTCAACAACGATCTAGTGAACTAACGACAAGACCGACGTCTTGTACCCTCACTTCCCTACATGCACAATAATCTTCCCTTTGCCCCCACCACTCTTCAAAGACTCGATGGCCTTTGGGACATCCGCGTACTCAAAAGTCTGCTCAACAGGTACTTTCACCTTCCCTTCAGCGATCCACCGCGCAATCTGCTCCAAATCACCCCTACTATTCTTCGTAAAGAACGCCTCGAATTTCCTGCTTCCACCGCCTAGAATTCTCGGTAGGAACAAACGACTCGCGTATATTCTAGCCGTCTCAAGAGATGCGGAACCACCCACTTGCACGAACTTGCCTTCTGGTAATAAGAACTTGTCTGCCCTTGTGTACAGATCCGACGGGGATGTCCCGACATTATCGACGACGAGGGAGTAGACGAGACCACCATCGACCAATCTCTGCGTGACATCCTCCTTTTTATAATCAATG